TATGGGTTATGTACTAATGTCTGAGGTGAAAAAAGCATATGTTGATTTTCAGTTTTATTTACATTCTGAAATACTATAAAGGTTTACCTCGAGTCCAGTTAATTCCCCAAAGTCAAAGACAAAAGCGGACTTGAAGAAGAAGCAACTCAACGATGGTATTAAATTCAACGAGTTTAGTGTAAAAAGGATGTATACACAATAGGTAAAAAGAAAGTTTGCAATGTCAGGCAATAGCGCTCAGCGTTGACATGTAAGATGTGTTTATATATTTCAAAGTATATATGGATTATGGGCTTACTTGCTAAAGTGAAAAAAAACGTACGTTGGTTTTCAGTTTTATTTATATTCTGAAATACCATAAAGGTTTTCCTTGGGTCCAGTTAATTCTCCAAAGAGAAAAGTGGACTTGAAGAAGAAGCAACTCAACGATGGTATTAAATCCAACGGGTTTAATGTACAAAAGGAGGTGTTCACAATAGGTAAAGATTTGCAAATATAATTTATATTTGCGGACTTAACTGTTTACTGAGTGTCCAAGGGACAATTGGGATTTTCGGCCTCATGGCTTCTGTGCTCCATTAATGTCGGAAAAGGTGTACTCATTACGGCTGTTAGTTGCAAAAGAGGAAGATTTCAGGATACGAAAAGAGATCATGACTGAACAGCAGTTAGCCAATCAAAGTCCTGGATTTGTAAGGATTTCAAGTTCAAGGTTGATCTTTGAATGGGAACACACCTTTCAAATTGTTATAATACTTTTTGAAAATATGCAAACAAATTAAGTCGAATAAACCAATGTCCATAAAAGAAGGCGATTCTAATATGATTTTTTTTAAATACAAACCCTAAAAGAAAAAGATTCTGTTGCTTCCAATCCAATAGGGGAATATATTTATCCGATCTCCTCACCAAGGCTGGATTTGACACAAAGTAGTTTTAACGTGGGGAGTGCCATAATCATAGGTATGCATATTGGTCAAGGTAAAACATTCTGTTTTTACTCAGCCGCTGCGACTACTGTCACGCTGGCAACGGTGTTACACCAATCCAACCTCTTTAGTTCAATGAGGAGGTGCTGCCACACGGTTGGAATCCCCGGGGCCGAGCAACTTCTCCCATCAAAAATGAGGCGAAACATAACTCCACTTAAAGCACGGAAGGGGTGGGGGCAATAACTATGTCTCAGTAACCCTCATTGGCTAATGGTTAATTCTTGTGTCAGACATATTTACTCGCCTTCCCTACCAAGGCTGGATGGGACACAAGGTATATTTAATGTGGGGAGCGTCATACGCATACTTATATGGGCCAAGAAAAAAAATTGTTTTTTGCTCCGCTCTCGCGACCACTGTCACGCTGACATTGGTATTACACCGATCCAACCTCTTTAGTGCGATGAGGAAGGTGCTGCTGCAGTGTTGGAATCTCCGGGGCTGAGCAACATCTCCCATCTATTCATAGGTTTACTTATAGCACAGGTACATTAACGACGCATCAGTAAACCCTCATTTGCTAATGGTTAACTCCTGTACCTGGAGGAGAATGAAGACAAAACATCCCCCTTGCTAAATTTATAGACAAAACATACAAATGAATGCCGGGATATGTCCCTAGCCACTTCTATGTCCCATCCGACTTACTTCTGTTGTTTCTTCTCTTTAAGTCAGAACGCTGAGATCGCTTGTTTGTATCCCCTTTTTGTGTGTTAACACTGTTCTTAGTTTGTAAACTTTTTACATTGTTACTGCTGCTTTGTTTTGTACATATTGATCGCTTACTATTATTTTTGCCTGTTCTTTAATTTTCTTTGTGTTGTTATTGTTTATTGCAAACTTTGTCAATTCTGAGAATGCCAAAAAGTGTCCATATATTGGATAGTGCGATAGTAGAAATTGTTAGCATAGAATTTACGGTTACATCTAGCCATTTCAATTATAAAATGATGAGGCCTGCGCTTATATTCATAAAGTCTAGGTACCACAGAGGAAAGTTCAACAAAAGGAAAGTCGAGGCCAATAATATTGCAGATTCTTCTTTGAATTTTATAAGGAATTTCTAAATATATAGTCGGAGCACAAGACAAGATGTGACAGCAATATTCAAAGTAATTCTTTATCATCTCAGAATCATTGAAAAAATGGACTGCAAAATTAGAAAGGCACATATATTAGTGAAGCAAAGCTACCTGTATATACACTGCAACGTCGGATCAGACTTTCTACTATTCTTTGAAATCTACAACACAAAAATGGATTTTTCTCAATAAATATACTTATAGATTTTTGTAGGTTGTTTCTCTAACCATTGCAATTTTTTTCCGTTATTTAAAATCATATTCACGTTAGAAAAGTTACAAAAAATGATTAAACATGTTTCTTTAATTGCTCCAAAAATAAAAACAACCGCTGCGTTTAGAAAATGGTAACTGATTTTCTCCTTCCGCCGGAAGTGGTTTAATGAATTTGACGGAAAAGAGATTCATGGGTATTTTGTGTCCAATCAACTTCCAGCTGAATTCCATTGATCAACATTTTGTCTGATCTCTTTTTGCCAACAAATGCTAAACAACTCAGATGACGAGTAACGACAATCACCAAGTTATGATGGCATCAGCGACTATTGAAACTTCTTCCCACTAATCCCCGAGATTAACAAACTCTCTCACAGTCTGACTGACTGATAATCATTCAGTTTTGTGCCATGCGTTATACACGCTTAGGCGATAATGTATCTTTCGATACAGAGGCAGTAAGTTACCATTTCTTTCTGTGGTAGACTTGTTGCCATACAAATCTATAGAACCTGCTATTTACCCATAGCAAGAAGAAGAAGAGGATTTATACCTTTCCCAATGGTATTAGTACGTAAGTGAATGTAATGGATTCGACTGAAATTCGAACTCGGCTCTCTGATTCCTCAATCTGAGTCGCTATCCATTACTCCACCGTCCACAGTATATCACTTCTATCATTCACACACATTAATATCAACAGGCCTAGACCGAGAAGATAATTAAAAAAAAGATAGGGATATCTATTCAAACACTTGAACCTACAGAAATTAGAGTTTATAGTACACATAGAGTATCTTTTATCCGAAATTGCAAAATCCAAAAACCTCCAAAATCAGAAAATTTTTCAGGTGTTGACATAACTTAGCATAAATGGAAAATTTCAGAAAGCACTTCGAAGGTTCCTAGATGTTGTAAGTGACCTCATCTGCCGTAGGCGGGGTTCCCCAGCCTAGCTACTTTGGCACCAGTTTTTGTTTTGTTAGCGATCGTCACGACAACACCTTCGTTCGTGGATTATTTACCAGGTGTTTCGTGCTCAGTAAAGATATTTATTCAAAAAGTCCTGCATTTATATATTTTTTGTAAGTAGTCAACATCTTTTTTGTACACGTACAGAAAGTAGAAAACATTATTTTTACGCGTAATTTTAATTTCACCATTTAAATATCAATGTCAGAACTAGATGACTAAGATCATTACCTGCATCTGTAGGTACACTAAATTTATTAAATTTTATATAAAACTACCTTCAGGGTATATGTATAAGCTGTGTTATGAAATGTAAATATTTTTGTTTATACAAGGGTTCAGTTTTTAAGCTCACACATTTTATAGATGCTATATACAAATTAAACAACCTGGTTTCCCAAATCCGAAAAACCTGAAAATCGAAGCACTTCCTGTCCCAAGAATTTTGTATAAAGGATTCTCAACCAATTAAGAATAATATCGGATTTAAAAATACAATTAATTATTAATGTGTTTACGTTTTGGGTATGAAAATAAAACCATTAAATATAGATTGAAAAGAACCCAACGAAGTGTGCATTCCTTTAGTTAATAGAGACTTACCTTGTCATGACAGCTTCCCGCAGAGTAACTGTCAAGGGCACATTTTGGCTGTAGCGGTGGTTTCCCAGATGAGCACAAGGAATACGGGTTTGATTTGTGTCGAAAGGCACATTTTTCTCTAGTAGAACTTCTTGATTTAGGCCGGTTAAATTCTCTTTTAATAAAAAGTAATGGTATCTGTCTATATTTCTGAGATGAGATATTATGTACACTATTTGCATTATTCGGACTATTGTCCTCATCTTTGTCGCAATATTTATTACAACGTTTCGGCCGTTGTACGCTCCGGCCTTCTTCAGGTGGTTGGAATGTCAAGGACACATGGCACAGTGGATAAAGACGTTAATTAGATCCAGTGACAGGACCCAAAGAGTGTGAGTTCAATACCCGGTTAAGCCGGTGGAGAACTTGGAGAATGAAATTAACAGGAGATAACTGATAACTGACATCCATTAGACATGGCACGTGGAACTAGAACAGTCTACCCCAGTGAGCGAAATAAAAGGTTCAGTTCGACATTCCAACCATCTGAAGAAGGCTGGAGCGTACACGGCCGAAACGTTGTAATAAATATGGCGACAAAGATGAGGATAATAGTCCGAATAATGTACAAAGCAATGGCGTCACCTCAATATATACATATCTTCGAAGGTCGCTCAATAAATTTGTTGAAATTTAATCAGACATGTTCACACTATAATGTTAGATCAATGTAACTAATATTCACTATCGGTTTAAGTTCATTGACGAGTAAGAAATTTTACTAAAAAGTAAATAAAATGCATTTTCCATCAGACTGCGGACATATTTGATGTACTCACGTATATATAAATAGATTGTTTAAAGTTCCCTATATTTATGCAAGAGTTTTTTTTATTGCTTGATCAGCCCTTTCCTGATTATTTAAAACCAGAAAATATTTTTAGATCCTACGATTCTTTTTTAAATAATAATAAATTTAGTGATACAAGTTATACTATTTAACCCATAGCTCTAGGGAAAGGTAGATTCATATCTTTCCCAAGGATATTTGCGCGTATGTGATTATAACGGATCCAATTGCAATTGAAACTCAACTCTCTGATTAGCATTTCCAAGCCGATATCCATTACACCACCCGCACGTCCAAGCTTAAAACACCGGGTATTTCCAAGCGGTCTTCCATCCAGGTACTGACCAGGCTTGATGTTACTTAACTTCGGTGATCGTACAGGAAACAGTGTTTCAACATGACGTAAGCTTATGAATGAATGCTCAATATCTTTACACACACGTATATATATATATATATATATATATATATATATATATATATATATATATATATATATATATATATATATATGTGTGTGTGTGTGTGTGTGTGTGTGTGTGAAAATATATAGAAAATAGGAAGGAACTGGTTAGGTAAATAATCCAAAGTCCCTTAGTATTTTAGTTATTATTTTTAAAAATAGTGCTCGATACAAAAGTAGAGCATAAATATAATTATTTATTTAAAAATATGATTCCAAATCGCGACATAAGAAGTCCCGTGTTTCAAAACAAGAGCCGAAAACTTCATTATAATTATTTAAATTAAATTGAGTTAAAATAAGCTTTGTTCCATCTTCAAGCGAAATTATTTTGGAATAACGTGTTTCTGAAATTTACGTGTTTTAAAAATTGAAATCAAAATTTCCATGGTAACAGCTAGGGCGAATTGTTTAAGTTGGTAGGCTATATATATGTATCTTTATATATATATAGACAGTATAGATGTAGAAATTCTAGTGGTATTCCAGATAGTAGCAGTAGCAGCGTTACCTTAAAGATAGTAGCAGTAGCAGCTCTAAATAAAACTTAGCAGCAGCTCTCAAATATAAAAACACGTGAACCCTAAAGTAACTCTCTCCTTTTCCGGGTTTTTCCTCTTTCGCCCTGAACTTTCCACGCTGAAACTAAAAGGGCTGTGAACGCTTCGCTTAAAAACACAGCAAGTTCCCATTATAATATATTAATGAACATTTGGTTGTGTATATAATTTACATCTAACAAAAGAAACTCTTGTTTTAAACTTTCCTTTCGTTAATTTGTTTAATAAATGGAATTTTGCATTGCAAATCAATTCATTTGTTATTTTATGCATGTGTTCTTTTTCACCAATATTATTTCATGTACTACAAAATATTCCCGTAAGAAACCTTACGCATTTAATTATTGAAATACCTAATCACTAAAGAATCGACACTGCAGTGTAACTGATAGTACATGAGATTTTACTTAGTCTTTTTAAACATGATGTGGTTATAAGTAGCGTAGTGGGAATTTGTTTTGTGTCTTCAATCAGCTCTAATCTTTTCTTTAGGAGTTCATATTGTACTGGGAACCTAATTATCGTTAGATTTTCCTCTGTGCAAAGGTTACATTAAAAAAAGAGAAAAAAAGAATATCCATCTATAATTCTCTAAATGTGTGTGTATATATATATGTGTATTTATGATCGGATGTTGTTTCGATTTCCATGAAATTTTTTTGTTTGATAGATAATTCTTCAGTGCCGGTTTTGAGACCAAATTGTTGGCGACTATGGCTCTCCACTACTTCCTGTCCATTATAACACACAGCAATGTTTTACTATTTACTATCTGTTCTTGGATATATATCTTTCATAAAAAAATTAATAAAAATAAATAGTTTAAAACATTACAATAATATTATTTATTATTATACAGTTCCCTTTACAGAGCCACCCCCCATTCAAATTGTCCCCCTCCTACACCCTTTGGGAATGTGCCTCAGTTGCACCCTGATGTTGTTACTAATATTGATTTTCGAGTGGGCTGACTATCTCAAACTGCTCCAATTGAACGGCAAAAATTCCTAGTAATGAAAGACCGGGGCAAAGTAGGGTTATACTGCTAGTGACAAATAAACAAACATATACATATATATTCCTCCATAGAAAAAAAGATGCAGCAATTACAGCTCGTTTTTCGAGCGATTTGAGAAATGTGGGATTATTAGTAACCCAGTGAAGTGTGAATCTGAAAAAATAAACCGGAAGTGATTTTCTTAGGTCACCTCAGCTGCCGTTGGAATTTCCCTTGCTACTTCTAAAGTAGAAGCTATCTCACAATTTCCCGCACCTTATACCATGAGGAAATTACCACAATTTTTAGGGATGATAAATTTCTTCCGTAGATTTCTGCCTAACTCTGCGCAGACAGTGAAATAGTTGACAGATATTTTAACTAATGTAAAAAAATTGTGACATAGTTCTGTCTGACCTGCCATGGCAGCATTTCACCAAATTAAATCGGTATTGTCCCATGCAATTTTTGATGAGATTTTGATGAATAATGAATTTTTACAACAATTTGTTTTATTTTTTAAATTTTTATTTTAATTAGAATAATTCATTAAGCTTTAAATATTGTAAAATTTTATATTAATTTCACCATTTTAGATGGTATTATTATGAAGTTAAAACTATCTTTACTAATCATAGAAAGAAAAACTTAGTACAACTAATCAAATACCAATATTTTAAAAATAATCTTGAATTTTATTTTTGTCTACAAACGTTCCGATATATTTTTTATATACGGACGACTATACACGGCATTATCAGAAAATAAGTGTGATAACTATAGTAAATGTACAGCCAAAAATATTTAAAATTTAATAAAAATTTAGATTACGGATAATATTTTCTTAAATTTTTAAGATTACTGGGTACTTATATATAAAAGGCGCTCACGTTAATTCTATTAATTTTTGAACGTCTAAAGCCCCCCTAGAACAACATTAGATAAATATTAATCAGTCATCAAGCTGTCACACCCGCGAACACCTTAAATAAACAGCTACTCACGGAGTGAAAAAATGAATTTCTGTGATATTTTAAACTAAAAGTAAATAATTGATGTTTCAAATCAGATTAATTATACTTTAAATCAGCTATATTGACTCGAATAAAGTTTCAGAAAAGTATATTTTATTTCCGGAAGATTTTTTAATAAAGAGAATTACATTGCAATGAACGCGGGCTAAAAACAGCACTAAATTCACATTTTTTAGCACCCCGCCAAAAAAAAACAAAAAAAAAAAAAAAAAAAAAAAAAAAAAAACAAAAAACAAAAACAAAAAATACTGCTTCTATTCTTTTGAAATTAATTTTGAAATACAGTCATGTATTTTGCTTAGTGGAAATATTAAATTTAATTTACTAACTTGAAAGATTTTTGATTTATAAAAATTCATTTTAAATCTTAGGTATTGCAAATTAGTGTAGGTGCCTATTTTAAAGGAACCTAAAACTTTCCTGCAGACACGATGTCCCGTGGCATTCATGCTTCCCTAGTGGATCCATGCCCAGAATAATAACCATTTGTGGAAGAAATGTCAAGGGATCAAAATTTTCAGAAGCTTCTTCAGGAGAACTCGACCACTTTGAAATTTTCGAAGATGCGTGTGTCGGGTTACCTCCTGCTAATTTTTGAAACCGCTACTTGGGGACTCTCTCCAGCACTATATATACTCGGCGATATCTTTTCTAACCCCATCTCTCTTCTCACTTTTCAGCTGAGACTACAATAATGTAACGCTCTCGCAGAAGATTGCGCTTTTTTCTCTTTGTGGGAACCGCCAAGAACAATACACACACATGTCTCTCTCTCTCTCTCTCTCTCTCTCTCTCTCTATCTATCTATCTATCTATCTATCTATCTATCTATTAATTCAAATAAACAGGTAGACAGTGACTGGCCACTATTATTAGTTTCATGTGCTTTCGCACAATCATCAGATAGCCATTAACTTGTAATAAGATGAATATCATATATACCAACGGGCGAGTTCAATTTGACAAGGAAACCAAACCCGAAAGGTAGGGCGGGGAGTAGATCAACCAGCCAAGGTCTAAAATGGTAAAAAAAATGTTTCCCACCTGGAAAGGCTTGCCAATATAGCAAAAAGCGTTTTTACTTTAGGATATCCAACCTCATAACTACTATATCTCTTTTTCCTCCATTTCTCTGTTTATATATATATATATATATATATATATATATATATATATATATATGAAGAAATATAGTTTTAAGATGTGCTATATTTATGGGATAAAGTGCTTAATACCAGAGATAGAGCGTGCGTAAAAGTGAGCATTGAAGTCAACACTTAGAGGCGACAGTTTGTTTCATGCTAGACGCAATCATCAGGCCACGAGTGCTGTTATATTTTATCTATTATATATATATATATATATATATATATATATATATATATATATATATATATATATCTGTGTGTGTGTGTGTGTGTGTGTGTGTAAATAAATCCAGGGCTCCCATGTGGGAAACATTTTCTTTTGTTGCCTTGACATTTTAGATATTGCCTGTATCTTCCCTCCTCACAAAAGTGCAGGTTTGTTTTACTTATCAAATTGAACTCGCCCGGTTGTATATACGGTATTCATCTGATTACAAGTCACTGGCGACCTGATGATTGTGTGCAAACACATGTAACTAATAGCGATTTTCCAAGTGTAGCTTAGATGTGGCACAAGGCCGAAAATATGGGGCACCCAGTGAAGATCGAACTCACAACACATGTAACTAATAGTAGTGGCCAGTCCCTGCTGACCTGGTTATTTGAATTAATACTCAAAATCTCTGCCATTTCTTGTGGCATGGTTCACTTTTTTATGCTAGAAGGCTGTGCTTTGGGGTAGACTCTAATCCGAGCTGCTTATTTAAACCCTATATATATATATATATATATATATATATATATATATATATATATATATATATATATATATATATATGTCGGTTCTTGTTGTTTCTTCATATTTCTTTTGGCGGTCTCATACTCCGAGTTTGCTAGTTGTGGGCCATTTCAGGAGACACACGTGTTTATCTCACAACGCGTACATAGGACCCCAGCATGTGTCCCAAACACTGATTTTAAAACTGCATGTAATCAACAGCACCGGACGATTCCGCTACTTCGTCCCAGAAACATTGCGGCAGATAAACTTCTTCATGCTGCATAACTTGTGTCATCCTGGTGCAAATGATTCAGTCAGGCCAGTTACAGGCAGATTTGGGCGGTCTCGTATAAAGATGGACATTCGGTGGTTGTCAAAGACCTGTGTGCCATGTTAAAAAGTCGGAAGACATACTTGCCTATATCCTGGTACCTTCCCATCTGTGGTAGGAGCGGTTCGCTTATGGACGTAAC